CCTTCCCGGAACCTTCCCTTCCCGGAACCTTCCCTTCCCTTCCCATTATTTATTATTATTAATTTAGTGATATCACCTAGAATCTTTAGCCAGCAATTTGGTAATGTAGTGCCCATGCATAGAAAAAGATGTCTCCTGCTCCCAGCAGATATATTCTTGTTAATTCATGTTGAAATTATTAGGAAGTCATTAAGATTATGGTTGTGTTAGAGGCAGAATCTGAGCAATCATGCTCAACCAAAACAAAAGCAGTGCAAATTGGGAATGTCTTTCATCTTATCTTTTGTTTGTCGGTGCTAATTGGCTCCCTTTCTTTTAAGAACAAAAGCATAACAGAAGGGCTTCCAGCTGCATAAGCTCTACATATTGACTACTAACCACTAGCACTTGGGAGAGGATTTATGGGTTTTAGCACCTCTCTAATCCACAAGTTTCATTTGAGTTGGCCAGAGAAACAGAATTGTAATGAAAAAGAAGAACATGTGCTAGACACGTGTGCTTGATGCTGTCCGGTTCACACTCAGGGATGTTCACACCTGCTGTAACACTGGTGGGGACTGGGAGGCTTTCCAAGCGATGCTCCAACCTTTCAACGATATGACAATAAAATGCAGATGATAAAGAGACATTCCAGAAAGAGGACACCCATGGAGCTGGTGTCTTCTTATTGCCACTGGCTTAGGCGTTGCTGCAAAAAGGAGAAAATTTGAACATTTGTGCTTAAGGGTATCTTTGGAAACCTTACTGAATCTACTTTGTTGGAAAATGGGATCCAAACCACACTCTCATATTTAGCTTGCTGTGTATGGATCAGCACAAAATCTGTATCCAGTAGAACAGATAAATATGACTAAAAGATTGCTGGATTTTCTGCACCTGGAACAAAGTAACACCAGGCACAAGTATAAACTGAGACAGGAGTGGCTGGAGAACACGGTGCCTGTCATAACCTTTTGTTCTGTTTGTCTGTCTGTTTCCTTGTGTGTGTACAACACCCAAATGCTGTATGTAATCATTAATTTAGACTACAAATACTTTGAGGAAAGAAACCATCTCTTTACATTGCACTTGTGCTGTACCTAGCACAGAGGGGCCCTGTTGTAACTGGACCTCTAGCCAGCAAACATGAAAGCTAAAGGGACAGAGCATGGAGGTGACTGCTGCCATCCAGGCTCCAGACCTTTGTAATATTCAAGCAACTATTTCTTTCTGATTCTTCAGTGGTGAGAGGTAACCCCCCCATGCTACAAATCTGCTTCTACTGGCAGTTCAAGCTAGGGATGCTCCTTCCATGCTCTGTGCTTCCCAAAGTCCAGCTGAGCAGGGGCACAGGGCAGAAAGCAATGCAGCCGGAGCATCTGTATGCTCCACCAGGCTTCGGTGGACTCCTGGTTCCTTGGAGTGGCTGCCAGCCTCCAAAAGCTAAATTAGTTTCAAGGAGCTCAGGGCTGCAGCTTGCTGACTCAGCCCCCAGCAGATACCCAGCTCTAAGTGATAAAAATGACAGAGATCAGCTGTCTCAGAGCAAGGAATCTGTGACCAAGTGGGATTCATCCTAAAGCTGTGATTTCTGTAGGCAACTGGTGGGAGTCAGCGTACCCCCTGACTCTGGTGTCAGCTCTTCTGATTTCACTTTCTTCACCTTCCTCTCAAGGCAGTCTGCTTCTACAGAAACCTGGTGCACAAACATCAAACAAATTATCCAGCTGCAGTGCTGAGCCTCCAGAATAATGAATATACCTCCCAACTTGGCTAAGGGATACCTGCAGGTATTTTGTCAAATGAACAGGCACATCAGTGCATCTGTGGACTCTGTAGGTACTCTATGGGCAAAAACCACTTGTCCATAAATGGACAAGTTAAAGAACACCAAAATTCATGGAACCCAATGGTTTGGGCTGGAAGCAGCCTGAAAGATCCTCTGGTTCCAACTCCCCTGCCATAAGCAGGGACAACTCCCACTCGACCCGGTCACTCAAAGTCCTTGAAATCCATCCTTGAGTCCAGTGACTTCCTCAGTGGTCTGTAAATTACCTTGAACTATATAAGACCATTCAAGCTAAAATTTGGCAGGGCAGAAAATGTTGTCAGACATCCTGATTTCTAATCCCAGCCTCTGATTTAGTGGGTACAATTAGATGCATCTCTTGACTTTCCCAGTCCAATGAGCCAGCCAGTGAAAGAGAGTTAATATTTACTTGTGTTCCTTACTGATTTTTCTAGTATTTATTTAATGCCATATGTAAAGCACTTTCCAAATCATGTAAAGAATTCATGCTGTTCCAGTTTCTATTATCTTTTCTATAGGTTTGAGTATTTTTTTTAATAGGGCATGTCTCATCAGCTTTTGTACAGCAAAGTTTTCATGTGATTGGGTCAACTTTGTTTTAAGGAATTGATGCTCTTAGACAAGAAGCAGGTCCTCCTGAACTACAGCAGCAGGCTGCATGCAGTCCAGAGCATTCCCAGTCATAGAGGGTCATCCCTCCCATCTTTAGTGTCATTCTGGTTTGGAGAATAAATGGGAGCACACATGCAAGCAGTTACCTTGTTCCAGGGGTCATGAGATAACTGCATAAAACTCAGCAGGTTTATTATTTGGCATATTCACCATAGGAATATATATTATTGAAAATGTGCACTGAGTTGCCTTAAATTGATTTAGTAAATCAGTTTACTGATAGCAGGGAAATAACTGGGGTTTTAAAGTAAGGGACTTTAAAGATACAATTGCATCAGTTTAGCTAGATTGGTTTCTAAGCTGATTTTGTCACTCCAGGTTTGGGGGTTTTTGGGTTTCTTTTTGGCATGATAAAGTCTCCAAATGAGTAAGTAAAATTTCAGTTTTAGAATTACAGTGAGATAAATTTTTCACCTCTGTAAGGGGACTCACTTTATTCCAGGTCTCTCCTATAACATTGCTCAGATACAGCCTGAAATAGTGAGACCCTGGTCCTGTTTAAGTCACATTACTTAGACTCAGCAAAACTCCTATAATTTCAAGGCTTGCTTGTGTTTTTAGCCTAATTACTGCACTAGAGACTTTGTTTATATAACAGGGCATGAATTTAAAGTGACAACTCTCAAACTACTCTGTTGTATGCATTTGTGTAAAGCAAAATTAACAGAGAGTTCAAAGTATCAGTACTGGATTATAAACCACATTTTTGAATAAAGTTTCAAATTTTATTAAAGTGATAGTTTAAAGAGGCTGCAGGTCCTCAGTATCCCTGGGTGTAGGAACACAATAAAGCAGCAAGTAAGTCTCCAGACCTTTTCCATATTGCATTCAGCAGCCTTTGCTTAGCTTTTTCAGAAATACCAAAAACAATGAGCTTTCAGAGAAGAGACATGAGAAAGGGTTACACTTTCCTGTGGGGTTTTTATTTTTTGAGCTGCTTTGGATAAATAATTTCATCCTTCAGCTTGTTTCTCCAGGGTCTTTAAAGAAAAACAACAAAACAACTGTACGACAAGTATGATTTTTATGGAGTGGTAAAAAATACATCAGAGATGAGCAGCAAAAACAGAAATAAAATTATCTTATTTCTTCAATCCCAGGACAGTTTTCTTTTTGTTAAGTGTAATTTCACTGAGAGAAACTGGGAGGTGTTTTCCGTTTGTTTTTTTCTGCTTGATTTTGGGTTTACCTTTTGTTTAGTTCATCAAGATAACTTGAAAGCTGCACCCTGGGACTCTGGGAAAACCAGCTTGTGGGAAAACCGCTTGCTAAAAAATGCTGCATGGTTCTGTTTTCACAGCTGCTGGAGCCTGACATGGAGGTGGTGCTTTCCCTTCTGCATCCTGTTTTGGGGATGCAGGAGAGGCCAAGACATTTCCCCCCAGCAGACTCCATCTCTGATCCAGGCTCAGTGAAGCCAAAGGGATGAAACAGAGGTGTTTGCAAATAAGACGTCTTCCAACTTGCCTAAAAACTTGTTGAGAATAATTTGTAATGTTTATTTCCTCCCTCCTGTTGGCCCGTTCAGTGCCTGGATCCATGCAGAGCAAGCATCTCCCTCCCAGCTGAAGGAGTTGCCAAATGCTAATTGACTGTTAGAAACATTCACATCAGGGTACAAACGTTGTGCAGCTTTGCTGGCAGGAACCAGCAAGTTACTCCTGAGGCTGCAGCCAGCCAAGCTCCATAGGTCTGGGAACATGATGCCCCAACTCAAGTGGTAGAATAAATATGGCTTTGGCTTTTTGAAGTGCTTTCCACTTCCTCTCATGGACTCAATTCAACATTCTTTAATGAATAACCTTTTCATAATTCTGTTTCCTAAATGGCACCTCAGTCCATAAACCATGAAATAAAAAAGGTTCCCCCAAAAAAATTCCTTGACAAAGACATTTTTTAGAAACAGTTCATGCCCATTGTTGCTCCTCTGGGATTTTTGCACCCAATCTGAAAGCCTCACAATTAATTTTAAAAATTAATTTTTAGATAGTTTTTTCACCTTCTTTCTTGCCATGTATTTAAGGTGCATCATCTGGCTTGGGGCAATCAAGAGTGTTTCAGATCCCAGTTCTCATGCAGAGATGCACTTAAGCTCGTAGCTCTTTAAGCACATGAGCAGCTCTGCTGAAACCAGTGAACCTGATCACTTGCATAAACTCTCAGTGAGAGTGTCATACAGCAGTACCAAGCATGAAAGTGAGAAGCAGGGATGAGAAAACTTTCTTTGCCTGAAGCACATGTTTGGCATTGCAACCGAAGAGACAGTGAGAAAAACACAAAGGAGCAAAAACAAGAGGTCATCAATTTCTGTTGAAGTCCTTTCCTTTCTTACTTAACACCTATTTTTTGGGTCTATGCATAGTGGATATATCCCTGTGGTACTTGATAAAATCTCCATCTGTGACAAGATGTGAAGTTTAAATACAAAACTAAGAAAACCACCAGAACCTTACCCAACATCTTTACATCCAGAGGATGAACATTTTTCTAATCAAGGTTACATTCTTTCACACAGCTCTGGAGGGCTGTCTGTTATCCAACACTAACGCAGGCAGATAAGCCACTTGGCAGGAGGTAGCTTAGGGTGAAGTCAGAGACCACAGGCAGTGATTCATCTGCACTGCTCTAAATGTTTAAGAGTCAAAAAAGATGATGTCCAGAGTGCTGTGGCACACAGACACCCTGCACTGTAGGTATTTCTAGTAGACTAGGTTCAGTCCATGACTGTGCTCTCCATGTTCCCTGGGTTGCATTAGGCATTAGTCAAGTTAGCAAGATGCCAAGACATTTCATATGGGGATGTGTCAGAGAAACCTCTTTCCAAATAGTTTATTTCATCATGTGAATTGATCCAATCTGTGCATTTGTTTGGATAATCACAAATTAAAAAAAATTAAAAAATTAGTATATATGGCCAAAATAAGTTGGTGCTAGAAAAGCACCAACAAAGATAAACATGTTTCAAAAAAGGGATGGGTATGATTTCAGTATACATGAGGGCAAAGAAGCTGAGCTTGGACTCCTGCCTCCAGCACTTGCTGTTACTCAGGTAAACTATATTTGGGCTGCAGATTTTAGGTTCATAAAATGAGACTGATGACATTTCTTGCAGTTTTTTTCCTGGGGTCCTTGCTAGGCAGTTGAAACAAACAGATGGGGTAGTGCTTGCACTAATTTTGTATTCCATCTCTCAAAACAGCTTTGATCTTGTTACCATTGGTGGAATCTCCATTATCCTGCACTTTGAGCGGGCTCCCTTCATCACCCAGGAGCACACGCTGTGGCTGCCATGGGATCGCTTTTTTGTAATGGAAACCATCATCATGAGGCACGAAGAGAACGAGATCCCAAGCTGTGACCTCAGTAACTTCGCCCGGCCCAACCCTGTGGTCTCTCCTTCTCCGCTCACTGCTTTCGCAACTTCTTGCTCAGAGAAAGGTCCTATTGTTCCTGAAATCCAGGTATGAGCCATTTGAGCTGAGGGACAATAAGTCATAAAATCATAGAATGGTTTGGGTTGGAAGGGACCTTAAAGATCAGGTAGTTCCAGCCCCCCTGCCTTAGGCAGGGACACTGTCCATTAGACCAGGTTGATCAGAGTCCCATCCAACCTGTCACTGAATTGGATTGGGGCATCCACAATTTCTCTGGGCAACTTCTGCCAGGGCCTCCTCATCCCCATCTTCTTTCTTTGCTTCTTTTGACAGCTTTGAGCAACACAAATGCAACTGTTCCCCTGCTTTCCTAACAATAAGCACTCCTCATTTGATACCCTGTTTTTCAGACATTTGGCAGGAGCACTCACTCCCAGGCAATCTCTTTGCCAGATTTCTTTTCTCCTATCCCTGAGAGATGGAGGCAAAGCACTTGTGGCTAAGAACACATGAGCTGGGACCCTTGTGTGACCAACAAGCCCTTGGTCTCAGCCCTTTGGTATTCAACATGCCCAGCACCAGGCTGATGCCCTTCTGGCTGATGCTCTAATGCCTGTCTTCTGTTCAGGAGCAAATTCCACCCACTGGGCACTATAAACCTTGGTGGTGGAGTGTTGGAGTGAACTTTCTCATGGTTGGAAGTCATACCCCCCCACTCTACTCAGCTGCTGAGACATTCAGTCAGCCAGCAGGTGGGTGAGAGGGGCCAGCCTGCAGAGCACCTCAGTTTTATTGCATTTCATGACATTTGGAGTAGGTGAGCAGAGTGAGAGGGTTACCTTTAATTTTTATGAGTAAGTATGAGTCAGATAAAGAACCTTAACAATCTGCTGTGGCTTCAAAGTATTTTGTCAAATGGAAAGTTGTGTTTTAAACTGAATAGTCCAAGGAACTAAATTAACAGTTTTCCTTAAAAATACTAATTCTGTTGAAAGACATGGATGTCTTTCAACAGAATTAGTATTCAACCTTTGCTACATTGGACAGGCTGTTCTCTGGATTTTATGTGCCAGCATTCAGCATGTCCTGAGTATTGCTTTTAGTGACAGTAATCTGCCAAGGAGGAAATTATAACAAGTGTAGAGACAAACTGTGTGCTTCCAGGGTGACTCCACTGGGGTTGCAGTACCATTAATGAGAAAAGAAGTAACTTTATACCTTCTAATTTTAATAAACCAGGTGCTAAACCCAGCAACCAATAAAGCTAGTGGTCTCTTTACCTTTCTCTCTGGACCAAGTCTTATGATCCTTTCTCACACTAATTTACAATTATGGTCCCCATGTTTGTCCCAGCATAATTACCAATTAAGTCCTGTATCTTGTAAAGTCCATCATATTGTAAATTCTTGGTTCAGAATCTTGGTTTCCACATCTTTTTATGAAATAAACAAACATCATGAAAGGTCAGTGCTGCTTGGGAAAAAGCAAATATCTGATACAGTGCAACTATGATCATAACCTCAGTCATTATTTGGTACCACAAACACCTTCCAGTAGACCAGGCTGCTCAGAGCCCCATCCAACCTGATTTTGAATGTTTTCAGTGTTGGGGCATCTGCCATCTCTCTGGGCAACCTGTGTCAGTGTTTTACCACCCTGATCAACAATATTTGGTGCCATTTGAAATGTCCTGATGATGTCCTGCTTGAACTTCAACTGCCAATCCAGAATGATCCCCCTATCAGTGTCCTGCATTATATCTTCTGGATATCCTTGTGAATGGCAGATCACTTGGACATTCCAAGTCACACGAGCGAGACACTTGTAGTTATGGAATCTAATACATAAGAAAGATTAATTTTAAGATTATAAGGAGTTCACATGCAGTTGTCTGGATATGTGCCAAATATCCAAGCTCCCATTTAAATGGACAGAAATCTAACCAGTACATCAGTGGAGCCTACACATCACTTAAGCTGACCACCCTGAAGCTTTCTGGTTCTCACTGATGGTATCAGTTAGATTCCACTGTCTGAAATTGATGGTATCAGTTTGATTCCACTGACTGAATTTATGTGTGTGTTCACATCATATTGTTTATGTGATGTAAACATCACATAAGTTGACATCTGGATTTAGATGCTTTAAACTGGAATTGAATCCCACTCTTAAGTTTACAAGGCAACACCAACCTTTTAAAGTGTCTGTCTGTATCTGCTGTTATCTGTAGGCAAGACCTAAAAGAGCAGTTCAGAGCAGACACCTAACTTAGGTTCTTAAATTGACATGACTCCCATACATGATGAACACAGCGCTTTTCCTGTGTGCCATATGTCTGAGCTAAAACCTGTAAATCAATATTCCACCTCAAATATTGACTGGTAAGGTTACCAGAGTTTGTGGTGCAGGAGTTTACAAGAGAATCTGATTTGCAGTAGAGTCCTGACTGTACTGCAGTTCAGAAATGGACTACTTTTCATTTATGTACTGGATGTACATACAATAAAAATTAACCTAGCTGTCCATTCCTGCAGCTGCATTTTATAATACACAGTTCTCAGTAGGGAAATGTTAAATATAAAAGGTGTAAGCACATAGCTGGGAGGAGGTGACAAGCAGATAGCAGGGCTGGGAAAGAGGTTTTGACAAGTGGGTAGATAAGAACACCATGAGCTCCAACAAATAAATGCAGAAATAAATGCAGTGCTCTTTACCTGGATGCATTCAAAAAACCTAGTAGTAAATTTTTAATATTTTGTTCAGGTGCCTACAGACAGATTTGGGGCCATTCAGAATGCCCTGAAGTGCCCCTTCAGGCCTCCAGCTGTAGCTTCAGAAAGGTGGAGATGTCAGAAAGGTCCATGTCAGAGTTGTCTTGCCCTTGCAGAAGTTTTGGATACCATAGAGTGTTTCAAAAGCACTGATGTCTATGTTAAGGCCCCTGAATCAGACTCAAAATGGTTTTCCTTTTTAAAATTCTCTCTGAGCATCTTACAAAAAAAAAAAAGACATTGACTGTTCCTTGCCTGTCTGCTTGTCTGCTGGCAGAGTGAAGAGTAGCTGTAAGAGACATGTGTAACCCAGCACACAGAAACAAGATTTCCTACCTTGTCTCATGGAAAGAGTAGAAAAATTGCTACTAAGACAAGAACAGATTCTCACCACAGAGAAAGAGAACGTGACAGTGAAATTTGTGACCCTGTGTAAATCCCCAGTAAGCCTGAAGAATCTGCTCTTCTGCCTACCCAGCCTTGTGGCTGGATCTTTTTAAAAGAGCAGATTATATTGGTTAGTCTGGGATAAACCCTAAGAGTCTTTCACAAGGCCTGCAGTCACAGCACATGAATGTATCTGGGCCAAACAGCAATTATCAAATAGAAATAAGGGCACAATTTAGCTCTTATTACTTCTAGCACATTCAGATTATTTTAAAGCTTGTTTTCTCCCTTTTCTCCCGCTGATATTCTACTGAATTATACACCCCCCTACCAGTGCCATGTTTTGTTGATAGTTTGTCACAACTTACAAACTACAAATACATTTTGAATCACCTGAATTACTACTTGAACCCTCTCTTCAAGCAGATACCTTTAAACACAGCCCCTTGTGCTGCTCAGTGCCTTGGCAGTGTTGCAGTGTTGGAATGGCCTTTTCTTTGGCATGGTGGACAGCAGAGTTAGATCACGACAGAGAGAAATAATTACTTATGACAAGGATCTGAAGCAGACTTTCTAAATAGTATCTCCATGACAATTATTTGTGCCTGTTTTTATCCTAATGGGGTTACATATGAAGACAGATTTGATACAAAGGACCACCTTTACTGCAGTTTGGCTGAGCTCATCTCTGGTTGAGCCTGGTGCCCATCCAGCTTGTTGATGATCTCATAAAATATATTTTTAAAATCCTGGGTTTTCCCAATTCTGTCATATTTCAGCCTCCTAAGCACTGAGATATGTAAATTAGAAAGACTGCATTAGAGAAGGTAAATATTTATGAGCACAGTGGAATGGGGCTTTAACTGCTGGATGTGTCTGTTTTCAAGTGCTGCAACACTCTGAGCCTTTTAGTTATCACTTTAAAAAGTGTTGGGCCATGGATAACATCTCAAAAGAGGTGTTTTCAGGGGGCAGATTACGAGATTTGTCATTTTTGATAGCACTAACCAGAAAACCTGTAAGAGTTGAGCAACTCACTATGCCGAGGAAGTTTGCTGCTCCCACATAGACGGAGCTGGGTATAGGAGTGACATAACTTGGAAGGCACAAGGATCATGGAATCCTAGAATCTCCTGAGTGGAAAGGGACCCACATTGAGTCCAGCTTCTGACCCTGCACCCTAAGGACACCTCAAGAATCACACTGTGATAGATGTGATCCCTTCCTGATGGGTGGATCTCTTGTCCCACCTGACTTGCAGCCTCCCCCCCCCCTTAATATTCAGAAGGATGATTATTGTTAGAGATGTGTTTTCTAAGCTCATTTAGGGTCCAGCACACTGAAGAACTTCAGAAGTGGCACAGGAGAGGACTGTGCCAGCTGTGACCTTTTAACACATCCCATAAAGCCACCAGGCTTTCCTGCTCACTGATAAGCTTCTACCTTCATTTTTCAATATTCCCCAGAGGTTGCTGGCTTGTGCCAAAAATATCCAAGTTGGGTGCTTACCCAAGAGTGAAGTTTTCTTGAAAGTGACAATGTTTTTCTCCTAAGATTTTTTACCAGCATTTTGCATTAAAATATCAGCACAGTGTTAGGGATGTACTTGTATCACTTTCCATAAGCTTTCCAAGCATTTCTCCATTAAACAAAAAAAAAAAAAGAAGAAGACAAACAAAATTTTAACTTCTGGTGTTACTTTAGCAAATAAATTACCTGAAAAATCTCATCTTTATTGAGACTTCTCTGTTCTCAAAGCAGAAAATACTTTCCCTGATGTTTCCTCAGTCTTTTCTGAAGTTTTATATTGTAATGGGCACCTCTTAGATAACTGTCCCAGTCAGTCAAAAATATCCACATTTATGGTTGGGGGAGAAAATAAAGCAACTCACTTAGAATATGGAGGAACTTGGAAAAGAAAGAGAAGGAAGAATGCAAGGGAATGGAAAGGAGCTGTAGGTGGTAGGTCAGGCCAAGAGTTCAGTCACTTAAGTAAGAAGGCAAGGAATTCCAAGCAAGTACCAGAATAAGTAAGAACAAATGTGAAGTCAAAAAATAAGGGCGAGAACACAGATGAAAAAAGAGGCTAGAGCTAGATGGTATATCAGGTAGAGAGGGTCAGAGAGGAGGTAGGAGAGGAGCAGTTTCAAAGTAGGAGAAATGGGTAAGTCAGAGGAGGGAGAGTGGAACCAGGATTCACTAATGTCTTGGAGAGAATTGCATGTTATGATCAGGACCAGGAAACATCCTTAAGGCCAAGTAGGGTGTGATATTTTACTGGGAAAAGGAAACCAGGAGACAAAAATTAGAGGCCTCTAAAACCTATTATGAAAAAAGACAGAAAATGGAAGCTAAACTTCTGAGCTGTAATTATCTGAGATCCCAGGCTCTTTTCTCTGTGGGTCCTGGTACTCCTTTTAGGAGTGAGTCTCTTTGTAAACACTGACTTAATGTGACACTTTGTTTTCCTGTTCTCTGGTGTAACAGAGATGGAGAAGGCAGGAAGCCTTCCTTAGCTTCCAGAAATAAGTTACGTATATGATTTCATACTTGATGCCTACTAGGTGCCTTTTTAGACATGCCTGCCAGAGCTTTTATACAGGTGTGTTTGATAAATTACAGCTTCACTGCCTTTTCCTGTCTGCTCGCTGCTGATTTAACACCTCGTGGATTGCTTTTCCACAGGCTCTACAAGAGGAGATTAACGTTTCCGGCAGTAAAATAAAAGTGAGTTACCTGAGCAGCCGCACAGCTGGCTACAAATCAGTGCTGAGGATCAGCATGACCCACCCCACCATCCCCTTCAACCTCATGAAAGTCCACCTCATGGTGGCTGTCGAGGGACGCCTCTTCAGGAAGTGGTTTGCAGCAGCCCCAGACCTGTCCTACTATTTCATCTGGGACAAGACAGATGTCTACAGCCAGAAGGTGTATGGGCTCTCAGAAGCCTTCGGTAAGTGACCGCGGGGTTTGTGCCTCCTTTTGGAAGCAACTAAGTGGCAGTGATAAACCTTATCCTAGATCAGTATGGTCTGCCTGCAGACACATGAATGGTCCCAGCAGATTCACTGCAGCACACATTCCCCAGCAGATGAGTCACGGAATGGTTTGGGTTGAAACGGATCTTAAAGACCATTTAGTTCTAATTCCCCAGTCATGGGCAGGGATGACACCCTTTAGATCAGGTTGCCCAGAGCCCTATCCAACCTGTCCTTGAATACCTCCAAGGACAGAGTGCAAGTACTTACCTGTTAACTGGCTCGTGGCCCAGCACGTACATCCTGAGCTGCTCCCATCATATTCATACAGAAGGAATTACCTGGGACTAGAAGTGTTTGGCTACCTCTCACCTATAGCCAAAAACTGTCAACACTGCTTTGAAAGGAATCCCTAGGACAGAGCCCTGATTGCCGCTGCTCCTTGTGCCTGACCTTCAGGGCTGGTCTAATCTTAGTTTCCTCTTTGTTACCCATTCAAGAATGCCATCCCATACTGGGTGTTTAATGAGCAGAAGTAATGCAGTTCTGCAGTGATTGCTTCCCATCTGTCAACACCCAGTGGACATTCAGTTACAGGTCTTCAACTGAGTCTGGACTAGTCCCTTCAGGCTGCCAGGAAATGGTATCAGCAAAATGGGAGAGATCTCAAATTAGCAGATACAGCTCCTGTTGACAGAAGCATGGTTCATTATGCCTCATAGCTCAATTGAAGATAAGTCTCTTTAGAGGAGTTGCAGAATGCCTGTTTTTTTAGGAGTAAGAATAAGTGCCTTCCCCTCTCACTCAGACTTAGCTGCCTTGAGCGGGCTGGATTATACACCCTGCTGAGCCTTACCCAGCTCAGAGTCCACACTGAGAAATGTAGCATATCCTGAAGGACTCTGCGTGCATGCTCTTTAAGATGCTAGATCACCAGTGAGTCCTGGAGTGCTCCATGAAACAACTCGGCAGCTTCAGAGTACACAAGCAGGTCTGAGGACATCAGCATTCATGCCTTCAATGATTCCCATCACCAGAACAGTGGAAAATATTGACCTTTCACTTCCTAACTTACATCTTTTTCTGATACAATCTGCTAAAAGCTATGTTTGATGGCAAATCCTGAGTTCTCTCAGAGCTCAGCACTTTTCAAAGACGCTGGTAAACTTGTGAGATCAGACAGGGTTTTTTTCTATCTAGTAAAAAAACAATCTATGTAATTGCTTTTCATTTGTGTGGAACTTGCAGTTCTACTCTGCTTCAGCTGTAAAGATTAGAAGAAGAAAAGCAGACCAATGAAAATGGTCCTGCTTCTTCAGAGAGAATTGTAAAAGAATCATTTTTCTGTCAAAACCATTATTTTCCTTCTGCTGACAATTTTAAGCAACTCCAGTGTATTCAGTGGAGTTACTCCTGAAAGGCTCTGATTAGACATCATGGCAAGCAAATTTTGACATTAACAATGACCACAAGTCAACCTGGCTGAGACTGCTGCCTCTGAGGGACTCACTGCCCCATGCATGAATTGCGCAAGTCTTTACCTTCCAAGGAAGATCATAATCAAGATTAAGTTCCTAGGATGCACTCTTTGATAAGAGAAATTAGATAGGAGTAAAATTCTCCCATTTGAGAGTTCATCAGTGGTGTACACTCTCAGATCATAGAATATCCTGAATTGGAAAGGACTCCCAGAGATCAAGTCCTAATCCTAATATCCATTGTCTTAAAATACATCCTTAAAACAGTATCTTTTAAATTTTTAGCACATTTGCCCAGCACTGACAATGACACTGATCTTTTTAGATGCAGAATACACTTTTAAGAAATATTTAGACTGTGCATTATGATGACGACATTTTGAATTGAATTAGCAATTTTATGTAGAAATTCTCATACTCCTGCTGAATTGTGACTCTGTGTGTGCTGGCACTGCATTTCTGAGTTCCTAATCTAAGGAGTCTTTTGTTTCTGTCTTGTTCACAGTTTCAGTAGGTTATGAGTATGAATCCTGTCCAGACTTAATCCTGTGGGAGAAGAGGACAGCTGTGCTTCAGGGTTATGAAATTGATGCTTCCAAACTTGGAGGATGGTCCCTGGACAAACACCATGCCCTCAACATACAAAGTGGTAGGTTGTCTGTGACTCATAACAAGAGTAATGCAGCATTGCAAGACCCAGTTGCTTCTTATCACTAAGAGTTCAAGAAAAAGAAAGAAACCTGACCAACACATGTACTCTCTCGTTTATTTTACTAACAAATTATTTCTAGTATCCTACATTTAGAAGCAGTTTGGTTTGCAAAATGTAGAAGAAGCTGGCCATCATGAAGTAGTTGAATGTCAGCCCAATTTTGTAGTGTCCTAAAAGAAGGGTATTATCAAGGAAAATATTCCTGAAATAACAAAGAGGGGCCTATTCAGATTGGAGCTGTCACTAAGCATAAATCCACCCAAGAGGCATCCTCCAATGTGCAAGGTGTACTTGCAAAACAAGAGGTTTCACGGGTCCTAAAGGAGAATGGAAGGTTCCAGAGGCGTCGAAGACTGCTGAGGACTGCAGAAGGGAAGCTTAAAAGCTCATCAGAACATGTTCAAGGGTGGAAGCAATGTGTCCCTTTGTATAATAGTGGTGTGGGAGCAAGCACCTAATTCAACCCACGTCACTGCTGAGAGTGCTACACTTAGAGGGAAAATAGACACAGCTCCTCTAAAACTTTGCAGATGAAACATTTCTCTAGAGAATGTCCTGTAGTCTTCCTGGCCCTTACTTTTCCATGAGCTATGTAATTTCTTTTCTTTTTTTTTTTTTAACCTGGTAGACTGCAAATTGCAGGGCAAGGAGGAACAGGAGACAGGGCAGGTAAAAATTCATAAGATGCTGAAAAGTGCATTTCATTTAAAGGTAAAGATAGTCTTGTTCTCCCTGCATGTTTTCCTTCTGCAGGAAATGTGATGGGTCTAAAAGAAATACTTAATTCAGAAAAAAAGGGTCCTCATTTGAAACTATCACAAAACAATACTATGAAAGATGATAAGCCTTCTTGCTACTTAACAGATTCCCCAGCTGGCATGCAGCATTGCCAGTTTGTGCTCCCTTTGGTCTCAGTCTCCCTGTTTCTTTAATTTCCGTAGTACTGTTTTCTCTCTCTCTAGGCATCTTGCATAAGGGAAATGGGGAAAACCAGTTCATTTCCCAGCAGCCACCTGTAATTGGAAGCATTATGGGCAACGGCCGCAGGCGGAGCATTTCTTGTCCAAGCTGCAATGGTCTGGCAGATGGAAACAAACTCCTGGCTCCTGTTGCCCTAACATGTGGGTCTGATGGAAGTCTTTATGTTGGAGATTTCAACTACATCCGAAGGATCTTTCCCTCTGGCAATGTCACCAACATACTGGAGCTGAGGTACTCTGTGCTGCATGTGGCTGTTAGAGTAATGCTCTTAAGTTCTGCAGAAATCCTATGTACCCAAAAGAAAAATGAGCATAACTCTAAAAAAAATAAAAATGAAACAACACAGCAAAACAGAGAAAAAGCTGTCTGGATCTGCCTCTTCTGCAACTCTGCTGACTTTGATTTACACCAGAGAAACACAGGCCTAGCAAGTTCTTCCAGAACTGAATCACATGCCAAAAATATTGACACATTTCTGTGCTGCTAAATCAGGCTGTGCTGATGTCTGCCTTTTCCTGTAGTCAGAAACAGTGGGAATGCTGAAAATTAACCAGCAGCCTCTGAGATAACCTAAACTTGGAAGGACACAGCACTGATGATGATATGTAAAGGTGAATCAGGACTGATAATCACTCATAATTTAGACAAGATGATCACTCTAGGCAGTCACAGACTGGGGTTTTCTAGTTGTTTTTTGAGGGCACAGCTGTGGCAGCCCCCTTCAGTTCCCAATTGAGCAGCAGTGTCAGGCTGAATATGCAGATGGGAAGCATCTGTAAGTAAGTGGAGAGTTTCCTTTTAATGCCAGAAAGCAAAGGAAAAAATATACCAGGAGAAATAACAAGGAAGGGGCAGGAACATCCATTAAAAACAATGAAGCAGAGGGAAAAGTATGATTTGTCACAAATTCTGAGAAAATTGAATAAATTGTGACTGAACCAAATTTCAAATTGACCTCACTGAGGATATTTTTCCTATCTAAAATTTCCATAAATACAAGCATCCACTTCAAAGCAATGGGGCTTTGCATGGCCTGAGAAGCCTCACTCCAGGAAAGTCAAATAGAGGTAAGGGAGTGTTCCTGAATGAGTCTTCTATGCTTGACAGGCCTGAACTCAGGTCCTGAGAAGTCAGTATGAGGATAGCCTGCTAGGAAGGTTCAATATTCCCATTCACCTCTCAAAATCTGGCCTGAAAGTGAGAATCTTCCTGAAAGTAAGACCCTCCCTCCTCAGACTTAATATCCCCTGCTGCTGAGGACAAACATATTACTGCATTTCTGCAAGAACTGCAGCCAAATTTGTGCAAGATCCCCTTTGTCCCTCATGCACCAACATGCCATGGTCATTAGACCTCGCCAGAAGTCTTATTTGGCGTTCAGAACCATCCTTGTAGATCATGGTGTATGGAAAAAAAAATCCAGACAGGCACTACCAGAAGGCTGGCACTCACAGAATATCTGCCTTGGTATGGTCACCTCAGAGGGCTAGGGCACCTTTCAAGTAAGGAGGCAAGAACCTCACTTCTGCTATTCTGTTCCATGATACATGAGAACATAATATTTCTCATGTCTGTAAGGTGGGAAGCTGGGATAAAGCTTCAGACCTGGTCCTCGTTAGAGTGTAATATCTATCCTTCCAGTGCCAGAAAGTTATTTTAATGACCAAAGGTGAAATTTCCAGAAGAGCCTAGGTGAGTCCAAATCCCATTTCAACAGAGTAGGATTAATATTTCTTTCCCAGAAGTACAGTTCTGAAAACCGAATCCCTATTTCATTGTCAGTGGAAATACCAGACCAAACAAAGGTTTTGCAAAGTATTTCCTCATTGGGGAAGAGAAAATTGGAAGCCTTGACAGAGTAGCCTTGCTGGCTGTTGTGTAGAGGCACAGAGTTAAATTTACTCCAGAGTTAAATCTGCTGCAATGATTGCTGCTTCATCTGTGCAAGCACTCAGGTTACTGGATCTAATAAACATTTCTTCACTCTGGTGTGCTATAAAGTAAGTGGGTTCAGATGTTGGCTGGCTAAAAGGAAAGCCATTGCTTTTGGATGAAATGGAGTTTGCTTGTATCTTCTCAAATCAGCATCTCCTTTGAGATTAACACCCTCAGTGTTTGGCTCCAAGGTTTGTTTGCAGGGGTGGGTTTGGAGTGTAGTGTTCTGGGAAGCAAATGCATTGTGGGTCACAGAGAGCTACAGCTGGGTGTGTAACTTAGACCTATGAAAAATGTCCAGCTCAGCATAATTTCAGTCCTCTGGGCTGGAGTTCATGAGGTTACAGCAATGAGCTGCCACCCGTAACTGTGCAACTCCTAAGTTTACCTTTGTAAATCACAAGGTGTTGCTTTGACTGAGAGTGAAAAAAAACTGTAAAGATATCTGCATCTACATCTATTTAGCTCAGTGCTGCACTGAATGATAGATAAAGTCGGATGGTCCTATCTCTTGTGTGAGTGAATAACTCTAAGCAGGTGAGATCACACATCTTTTGTGATATGCAGCAGTACATAAGTGAGCTCACTGCCAAGTAATATCCAATATAAAATACATCAGTGTCATTCCAGCTAAGTCTTTATTTATTATTGCATTGTGTGATACAGTTACTGTCAAGTTTTCAATCTGCTAATAATGCATCGAACTGAGCTGCTAACACCTCATTCTTTCTTCTATTCCCTGCTTTCCTGTCTTCTGTCAGAAATAAAGATTTCAGACATAGGTAAGCCAACCAGTGGAGAATTCTTATGCTGCTCCCTGTCTTGTTGCATGTTGTTACACAGTGAGCCACAAGTGCCATTTCCAGATGATTCAATAGCAAATGAAGCTGGCGTGATTAAAACTGGCGTAGGCAATCAGTCATCAGAACTGGGAGCCATTAATCACAATGTGAGCCATGCAAACTTCTGCATGAGCTGTTATAGCTGGAGACAGGGGAAATACAGGGAGAACAGAGAAGCAGGGTAACAGGAGGAGGAGGGGGGAAGAAAAATGGATGGGAATTAACCGAGAAAGTAGAATGGGAACAGCATCAGGATACAGATTACTGGAACAAGTAGGATGGAAAAATAGTTCTCATACAGTGAAAAGCCTTCATTTGGGTTTGGGGGGGGTTTAACAAGCATAATGAAGATCCCTATGTGCCCCAGCATTACTGAACCAGGGAAGTTAGTTTTTGTAATATTTTTCAGTCTGAGCTTTCATAAAGAGCTTTGACACGTGAAAGTCTGTCAGACTCAAATAGGAGGTAGCGCAACTCAGAATCTTAGCCAGGAAATGCAATAAAAGAGTAATGACAAGAAAACGAGATAAAAGAGAGACTCTTAAATTGGAGCTTTGTCACTAAGAATATTTGTCACTTGGGTTCACTGGAGTTTCAGTGGGTTTGATCCAATCAGTTGCATTCCAGAAGATGTCAACTTCCTGTCACTGACTGTGTTTGCGAGGACTTCTTTGACTCTGACAAGTTTCCCATCCTTCTCCCTGGTTGCTCTTCCAAATCAGAAGCTTACACTGTGTGGAGTTGGGATTTTTGTGTGTGTGTGTTTAGTTTTCCTTTGCATTTGGGAATGGGGATTTTTCTTGCTACATGCTTTGCATTTACTATTTCTTTGACTTCATAGAGGCTTTGCTAAACTAGAAATGTTCTTTTATCTGCATGCCTGGAAATGAAATGGAGTAGAAACTGATTTTTTATCCTATTGCCAGAACAATAATGAAGGGCTTGAGCTTCACAATATGATGAACTGGCCCAAAGCATCTATTAGCAGGGCTGGGAGGTTGGTACCCAAGACCTTTTCACTGATTGGCCTCATCAGGCTGAGTTCCAGCCCCCCAGGTACTCTTTCACATCATTTGAAGACTATAGAAAAATTCATTTCTCTTTGGAACAGCCAGGTTGTATCCCTAATGCCCAAGAAATACACAGCCACTAAAGTGCATCTGCTTTGACAGTGAAGGGCAGCAGCTGGATACCCGTTATGAGAAGAGGTTTTGTGTATGAAAGCAGTAACTGAAGGAAGATCGATGGACTGGCCACAGATTGGCAAGCAGAGTTGGCAGGGCTTCAGCCTTTAGGCAGTTTCTAAAAACTAAGAAATTAAGTGAAAGAAATCCAAGACATGCCCGCTCCAGTGTAGCCTAAAGGGGATGAGGGAGGGAGGAAGCAGTGAGGAGCTCCAGATCAAATCCTTCCATCTGTGACTGTGTTGAAGGAGTCACCCATCTCTTAGTGCCTGTTCTGTGACATTTGCTTTAATACTTCTAGCTAAGAAGTCTCTTTGCTCCTGACCCTCAAGGAAATGAGTGTGTGTAGTCTCAGCTAAAGCTCCAGTGCTTTAAACTCCAGAAGGTCCTGAGCTTGACACCAATGACCAGTAATGGTGTAAAAGGGGAGATCCACAGGGCTGAATCATAGTGGTTTGGAAAAGCTGAAATCCATATGCTAAAGCTGCCTCAGTTCAGGGGAAAGGAATTCCTCCCCAGTATGTAGGCTGTGGTGAGCTTGATCTCCAAAGGTTCTAGAGCTACCCACTAAGAGACTTGGCTTTACAGCTCTGTGTGTGTAGCCAAGATCTAACTCTGCAACAGCCTAAATGAGGGATGTTAACTAAGCCAAAAAGCATCACCAAATCATGATGCCTTCTCTGTAGGAACATGGAGGGAGTGAGGCATTTCTGTCTTGCAAATATACAAAAACTGGCCACCTAAATTTATTCTTCCTTTTTTGTTTCCATTCATACTGTAGAGAGAAGTCTGCAGTTAGTGACAAAGAGAGGTATCTCAGCAAACTGCTCTAGGATCAGATAAAAAGTCCCTTGCCATCTCTGGCTTGGCTTATGGCATTGGTATAAAATTTAAGTGTCCAGCATGTCACACTAGAAAGCTTTGGGCGTCACACACAGACTGCAAACACTAAAAGACCAAGTGCAAATCCAGCTCACTGCCCTGTGTGGCTTCCTTAGGTATTAATCTATTGGGTGTCACCCAGGGAAAAAAGACCAGTACCTCACACAAGCTACAGTAATTCAGTCCTCTGGGTCTGAGTGGCAGGGTGCTTAGCATGGAGCCATGGAAACACAGACCCACTGAGCAAAAACCTCCTGATTGCAGGAATTTGGTGGTTCTTTAGTCACCAGCAAACGTACATGGCCAGCAAAACTCAGAGGGAAAGTGGGTATCTGGCAAAGAAAAAGAGGTGGTTTTGTGTTCTTAAACAGAAACGTCAGATCCAAAGAAGCCCCAGGGGTTTATCCAGGTCAGTGGTTGTGGGTAGCTAATTTTGGAGGTGTGACTGCTCCTGTCTGTTGGCCACAGTAAGTGCCAGAGCTGTACAGTTACCAGTAACAGAGGTTGTCCTTCGAGGAGGTGATAGATGCCCTTGCATTTGAGAAACTAAGATACAGTTAATCTTGTGAGACAAATGTTGAAAATAGTCGGACAAGTCCTACCCCAAAAGGTGATATTTCTCTCCACTGCTTGTAGAGGGAATTAAGGCAGCCAGTTCTGATGTAAGCATCCACTTTGTAACCATCTAAAGCTTGGTGAAATTAATCCCTTGGCATTTTACAGAAACCAATATAAAGGTGTAGTGTGCTGTGCTGATGTTTTGTCAGGAACCTGCTGAAAAAAGGAACCATCTCTCTTTTCTCATCTCTTTTCCTTAGAGATTGGCTTCCCAGTCTGGAGCAGGAGGTTCCTTCCTAGGACTCCTCCAAAATATGGGCTCTGGGCCCAAAGGGAAAATACCAGCCTTTGTTCAAAGCCTGTGCACGTATTATAATACAACTGAAGCAATTCACAATTCAAACCTCATGCCTCTGCCAGCTCACCCTGGCAATTTTTTATCACCCTCACAATTTTTTATCCTGTTTCTTCCCTGTACCTGGTGTAAGGAATCACACACAGCACAAGCACTTTAAAATGGAGTCTGGATCTCTTAACATACCTGCAGAGCTTCCTAAATGATACTGGTACTACTCTCTCCAAATAATGAGAATGATAAAAGGGAGAAGGCAAATGTATGGAAGAGACTGTACATAACCCCAAAGAAGTGGGATCACTGTGGACGTGGAAGATTTCCCTGTGCTTTCCCAGCACATCACAGTGTCACAAGTATACTGGGACACAAGTATACTGGGAAGCAGTATCACCAGTATCACCTCTATTTCACTTTGGCTTGCAGAACCATGAAACTGTTCTCATTCCCAGTTACTACACCATCATGCCCACTAATACCCACCAAAGTGTCAGTTCTTGGCTAGGGACCACCCCATCCCATCACTGCAATTTCAGTGTTATTGCTTCAGGAGGTTTAAAATATCAATGTGTTGCTCAGGTTTTCTTCTAAAAAACTGTAATAGCTCAAGGAACACTCTGAATGGGAAATCAGCATTTCTTCCACAGTGATATTCTAGTGGCAGTGCCAATATGGGATAGATATTCTAAGACTACAAGTAATATAGCTGATCAAGTCTTTTGGATAGTAAAAGGTCTTGTCTTTTGTTTTGGACTGTTTCCTAGCTGAGAAACAAGAAAGGATGAAAGGGAAAATGCCTTCTCTGCTTCACCCCAGGCATATTTATTTCAGTTCCTGTTCAGCCCAGTCCAGTTTACCACTTGGATTTGCCTTTGATTGTGGTTTTAAATAAAAAGTGAATCCCCAGTGTTCCTGGCTCCACCACTCATACATTATCACAGATAAAGGAAAGCAGTTTGGGTGATTTTAGATGACCAGGTATGTTTATTTAAGCATCTTTCACCCTGAAGGATCTCAAAGTGACAAAAAAACCTCCAGTGTATAACACTGTGCAGTTCATGCTAGGGCAGAGTACAATACTAACTCTCTACAGTGCTGAAAACAGTTGGCAGGGCCAGGGGGGTAAATTCCAGCTTGACTGTTTTAACAGGTTGTTTCAGCATCTATTCTAGACAAGAGCTGGGAGTAGAAAATTGTTTTAAGAGCTGTCTTTTTTACAGAAGATTGTAATCAATAATAAAATCCACCAGAGTGGGGCTGTGCAATCCAAAAATAAATCACAACATTATTGCTGGGAGAGGGAAGCAGGAATTTCTCTCTGTCCCCATTTTTCTCCATCTCTGAGTAAGTCATTTTCCTTTGCCCATCTGCACATAGCCTGCTCTAAAACTCTGGGAAAGTTATCTGTGCTTGCCAGTCAAAGATGGTAAAGGATTGCAAAGTGCCAGTAAATCTGTCCTCCTCTTGTCCACCTCCCATGCAAAATAGAGATTATGAACAGCTCAAGAGCTTACTGACATTCAGCAGGGCTTTGTTAGGACAGCCAGCAGAAAATGCAAGGCCCTGATCAAAATGGATGATGGATTCCCACAGGGAACTTCTTCCACCAGGGTTGAAGCCACTTGCTTAGTGTGAGTGACATGCAGGTAAATGAAATAATACCCTCCCAGCCTGCTGTCATTGGGAAGGAATACAGATGGAGACTGAACTGTCAGGCTGGAGCTGTCTTGAAGGTCAGAGCATTTTATTTAGCAAGAATCAGTGTCATTTTTGGAGATGAAATCTGTTCAGACTTTAATAGGATAAATCACAAGGGATATTCCAGAATAAATCAGAAAGGTGCTTTTCCCTCACCCCCACAGTATTAAATAATTTGAATGAAGAACCACTTTACTGCTTTTTTAAATATGAGAAGAACTCAGTAATTTTTACGTGTCTGAAGAGGGAGTAATTTTCCTAATATAAAGGTTGAGAGGAATTTTCTATATGCAGAATAAAGTCAATTGTGATTGACACTCAAGTTTCTAGTCAACTTCTCCTGGAACAATTCCATTAAGTGCAAAAATGTGAACTGTGGCCTAGATTTTTATTATGAATTCTTTGGATTTGATGAGTTTGGACAGCCTGAAGATGTTCTGGAGAAAAGTAGATACTTTTCATACTTGTTCTAATTACTACTTAGGCTTTCTTAGAAGGAAAATCAATCTGTTCAGGACAAATGTTAAAAGTCTAACCTGTTAGTTTCAGGCTTAGAAGAGATGCAGCTCAATACACACTAGTAGTCAACAATTTTAATAAAAGATATTAATATCTTAAGTATCTATGTTAAAATACAGGTAAATTCCTTGCAAGACAATAGTTTAAATTTTGTCTAAACCCATCTGGTTGTTTTTTTCTGGCCAGTTCTATTGGATGCTTTCCATAAAGTGGATTCTAGTTTATTAATTCCTTCAGTCTTGGGCTCATTTAGTGTTGCAGTCATGGAGCTAAAAATATTATCATTCTGTCTGCTCATCCTGTTTTCTCAGCCACCCTTTCTCGTGTCCAAGGAAACAGTGAACAGAGGGTGTTCAACAGGGGACTGATGTTCAGGTTCCTCAGTTCATGCTGTACTTGGGGCAAAATGTGCCACTCAGGAATTACTTTGTTTCTCTCATCATTGAGGTCCAGCTGAATTCAGTTTTAGGATTCCCTTAATCTCCCTGAGGGCAGAACAGAACTTTAGAGTCTTTGCTGGAGTCAGCAAGAGCACCAGATGAACCTTGATGCAGTGATCTTGAAGGGTGTATCTTCAAGTGCTTTATACAGGGAGTCTCCTTTTGGAGTTTGTATTAGTCTTTGTTGGGAGGGCAGATTTTTCTTTCATTATTATTTGTTTTATTTCCCTAATGTTCTCTGTTTTCCCTTCACTTCCTGGCACTGCACGAACACCAGTTTCAGGACTATGTCTGTAACAAGTTAATTAAGCAAACACAGGCACTGGAACTCAATCTGTAGTAGTTCCTGGCATGGTTTTGGCTCACACTCAGACCAGAGAGCCCTTTCCTTCGGTTGCTTCCCTCCATGCCAGAGAGCACCCCAGGCACAGTGATTGCCAATGGATACAGCTTGGGATCCCGTGCTGTAACACACCGTGTACTAACCTTGTCCAAAACAGCACTCCTTCACTTTCCCAGCCTCTCTGCCCTATGCATTTTTATTCTCTAAAGTGTTTGCATTGCCTGTTGACTTAAGGAAGCACATAATCAAAAAAATTAATGATGTCATACCCTTGTTTTTCAGCCACAGCCCAGCTCATAAGTATTACTTGACCACAGATCCGATCACCGGCTCCATCTACCTCTCAGACACCAACAGCCGACGTATCTATAAAATCAAGTCAACCACGTCAGTGAAAGACATTGTGAAGAACTCAGAGGTCTTGGCTGGAACTGGGGATCAGTGCCTCCCATTTGATGATACCCGCTGTGGAGATGGAGGCAAAGGCACTGATGCCACCCTTACAAATCCCAGGGGTGAGACTGCTTCTTCTCCACTGGCTATTTTAAAGGGGGGTTTTTGAAAGCAGCTTGTTTACTCACACTGGAGATTGCTCTCCTCTCCAATTCTGAAACACATCCTAAGGGCTTGCTCCTGGAAATAAGTGAGTATGTCTCACCTTCAGCTAGTTGTGTCATGTTTCTTCAAGTTGAGATGGCTGGGAGGAATGCCAAGCCAGAGGGGTTCAATGATGGGCACATGTCCAGAGGGCAGTGGAACAAATCCACCCATCACTTTTATACCTGTGGAGCCACTACTCCTCCTTACCAACAGTGCTTGGTCCCTCCCAACCTGGGCAGGAATCACTAATATTCAATTCACTGAGGCTTTCTTGGCATTAAAAAAAGGCCCATAAGCATTGCTGTGTGTATATATATGTAAAAGGGCAGCAAAACTAGCATACAGCTCAAAGATACGCAAATGGTGGTTTAGACATTGACATGATGTGTCACAGCATCTAGCTTAAATCCTGTAGGGGGTGGATACTAAATTTGATATGAGAGTGGCCTAATTCAGCTTAATTTTACCTGGTTCCAACATCCTGAAATGTGATGAAAGCACAGTTGAATCAGAATAGAAGCATCACGCAGCCTTCATGGCTGTGAACTAAATTGTTCAAAACAGGTTTAGCCAAACATATGCAGTCCTGTGTGTAGCCAAGACTTCAGTCTGGCAATCTCAAGGTAACAAGCTCTGCACATGGAGGATGTCGCTCCTCCCAGCTGTCCACAGCACCTCAGAAAAATAAAAACACACAGGGGGATAGAGATGAGGTGGAGAGGGTAGAGATGAGGAGGAGCAGATAGAGATGAGGTGGAAGGCACTCTTTGTGCACAGATTTTCGACCGTGTTTGTGAAGAGGGCTGCAAAGGACACCCATGCAGGAATGTTTTTTTGAGATGGGGTGGTTTTGCTGTTATGTGTTGTCCTCTGCTGTTCAGAGTGCAAGATTATTTATAGGTTCTTGACTTTGACATCAGTGTCCTGCAGGCTTTTATTTTCATTGCACTGGAGAGTGGTAGCTCCCTCCTTCCTCAGCACAACAGTGGCCAAGCCTATCCCACCCTCTTTGTAAAGCAACCCCTCAGCAAAACTTGGGGATCCTTTAAGAAGTGTTCCTGCGTACAGCTGCAGGTTTGGACTAGATGACTTTCAAAGGCCTCTTCCAACCTGAACCATTCTGTGATTTTATGGAAAGTTATTTCACTGAGAGCAGATGAGATTCCCAAAGAAGTTGTGGCTCTCTCATCTCTGGAAGTGTTCAAGGACAGGTTGGTTAGGGCTTTGATCTACCTGGTCTAGTGGAAGGAGTCCCAGCCCATGGCAAGGGTTTGGATCTGAATGATTTTAAAGGTCCCCTCCAACCCAAACCCTTCAATGATTCTATGATTCTCAGGAAGTTATTTTTCATGACATAGAGATGACGTTGTTACTGAATCCAAGCTGATTTAATGAGCTTTTGTGCCAGGTCTGGCTCTGATTTTTTGGCTTTGGTTTGGTTGGGTTTTTTGTTTTTTGGGGGGTTTTGTTTTTGTTTGGGTTTGGTTTTTTGTTTGTTTGTTTGGGTTTTTGTTTGGTTGTGGGTTTTTTGTTATGCCAGCTAGTTGTTTCCTGGCAAGAATGCAGAAGAATGTACTTTGGAGGACCTAATTTTTTTGCCAAAAAGCATCAAAACTCAGACTTCTACCCCTGTAATATTCAGAGTCCAGCATGGTTTCCAAGCTCTTGAGAATCCCATGAGTTAACCATTATATTGGGCCAAAGTATTGCCAGAAGCACCGATAAAGTAAAGGAACAGCTACTGGTGGTCAGTTTGTAGTGTAGAATTTGTCTCACTGAAATGAGAAGGCTGACTGAAAGGAAAATTAAGTGACTTGCGCAGAGAGATTCAGGCAGTCCAGCAGATGAATCATGAGATCAGGGAATCCAGAAATCTGTAATCCAATTTTCTGCACCTCTTTGAAGTTCAATCAGTGCAAAAAAAATACCCCACCACTTTTGTTGGTCCTCTGTTCTCCCTTCTACAAGATAAGAGGAATATTATTCATTTCCATCCATGGGTGAATGTTACAAGGTTTAGATGACTTATGTTTGTGCTTTGCTATAGCAAACAGCTCTGGAGTTCAAAGTTTTCAGCACTGAAATCCATCTTGTTGGCAACTGAAGCTCTCAGGAGGCCATTCTTCCACCTCAATCATATAACAGCAAAATTCATGCATTCATTCCTCATAGCTCCAAAATTTCACAAAACAGAAGTAAATTGAGGGTGAAAGAGGAAATGACATGAAGCAAAATGACAAGAAGAAAATAATAATGCAGAAAGCCTGCACTGCCAATAGAAAGCTCCTAAACAGTGTTCCCTGATCTGATTCTAACCTGACTTTGCAAATTCTGCTGAGGCAATGGCTGTGGCAGGTGTGACTCACTCCCCAGTCCCCTCAACAAATGATGAACAGTGAAAACTCATGCTGACAATGTAATGTCACCGTTGTTTATGCTTCCACAGTTGTTCATCCTAGCAGAAAAATCCAGCAAATGCTCTTCCCTCATGTATTTCATAATAGTTCAAAATAAAAATGATTTATTGTATAAGTAACCAGTAGATCTCAAGTGACCCTCTGCTTCTGAGTCTTGGCAGGCAAATAAACACTCATAAGTGAATGGTCAAAGGAAATTAGAAGACTATTCTGTAGCTATAGAGATACCAGCTGGCCAGGGAAGGACTTGGAAAGTCAGTTTTTCAAGAATCATTGCTCTTCACAGAACTCTACTTTTTAAGCCTAAAGCTTTTTTTTTTTTTTTTTTTTTTTTTTCTCTGAACATAACTGCTTCATTCCAAGTATGATTTCTGTATTTTAAGGACATCTTTGCACTTTTTCAAAAATCATAAAGAATAAAAGTCTTGCCTTTCATGATGTTTTAATTAGCTGATATTTTCAGCTTGCTGGAAAATACTAAGGGATACCTTCCAGCCAGATGAAAACCAGCAATTCATTAAGACTGGAGAAATAATCGCAAGCTGTCATTATATGCCTTTGCATATATCTTTAGTCCCTTGGACCAGTCAAGCATCTGGTCTAAGTAGGTTTTTTTGGGTCTCTACACAGTGGAAAGAAACTAGCACCCTGAAGGTGGTTCATTCTGTGACTATGCACGTGTTCAAGGTGGGATGAACCACATTCTGGGAGTTCTGGTCTTCTCCTGGATTCTGATAGCCTGAAGAGTGAGGTCCCCACCACAGCAAATACTGTTCAGAATGGTTCTGCACATTCTGAGCAGCAGACTTTTCCCCATTGTTTTGATCACTTCCTCCAGTTTTCACCTCAGCTCCCTTGAGTTCAGAGGGAATGCTTTGAGTAGAATGCTTTGGGTTGGAAGTGACCTTCAAAGACCATCCAGTTCCAGTCCTACTGCCATGGGCAGGGATGCCTTTCACTAAATCAGGTTGCTCAGAGCCACATCCAGCCTGGCCTTGAACACTTCCAGGGATGAGCATCCACAGCCTCTCTGGTCAACCAGTGCCAGTCACTCACAGGAAAGGATTTCTTTCTAATATATAATCTAAATCCACCCTGTTTTAGTTCAGAACCATTATCCCTTGTATTGACATTTCTCTGAAATACCTTCGGGACAGAGGTTCTTGTCTCACTCCAGTGAAGGAAGAACTCCTTTTAGACCATTACCTTAGAAAAGACATTAGAAGGGGTAAAACCCTCCAGGAGTTTCACACTTTACCCATCTTCGGCTTGTTTAATAAAGGTAGGCTACAGAAACACAGGACAGATAGATCCACAGATGAAGTAGGGGTGGCAGTGGTTTGGTCAGGGTATTTATTACAGCTATTAGGAGCCAGTCTGATCTGTCCAATTCATTTGCCACAGAGCACAGCAAAGCTTTCAGATGCTAATGAATTTCAATATATCCTTGCAAATTAAAGTGTTACCACTTCCTAATTATCATCTGCTAATAATGATCCTCTTCTACAAGCAATCTAAAGAAAAATTAAAACTCCAGCTTGTCAGAGCATTTCTTTTCATCTGAGTACTCACCATTGGTTCTTCTCGGGAAAATGTTGTGGTGGCGAAATTACCAAGGAGCTTGCAATTAAGAGAGATTGCAGTGACAAGTCTGACACAATAGGAAGGAGGTTTCAGAAGGCACGTGGGGAGAGAGGGGACATCTCATTCATTTAGCACCATAACACCAATGTGAAATGAAGTAATTAATTTGGGGACAGATTGGTTCTTTCACTCTGCCCTGCTGAATGTGTAAACAAAATCTCAGTTGTTCTCTAAGTGTTGAAGAGTTTGACAGAACTAATTGAGGAAACCAACCCTCCACAATCTGTTAACATTTTTATGGTGAGATAATAATAGAACCATTTTGGGGAAGACCAGAAGCTGACTGACCAAAATTTCTTGTCCCTTACTCTGGCCAGAAGAGACTTAGGGACAGGGGCAATGTGTCTTCCTGTGCTAACACTCCAGATGCTAATCATCAGTATTTAGGGGAATTTCTGAAGAAGTTGCACCAGACCTGTGCTTAATATATCAGCATCAATTGGCTAAGAAACCTTTCAGAACACCTAGTTTTGTTCTTCCAGGCACCCTGTGCTAATAATTTTCACAATTTCTTTAGCCAGGTCATGAAAAAGAATGGTCCTTTTGAGGCCAAGCCACTGTTTTGTTGGGTTTTTTCTATTTCTTCGCTAATTCCTTGCTGTCTTGTGGTTCCCTTCTTGACCACTGTGTAGCACAAAACTGTTCTTAGCAGAAAACTTTTCACAGGAATTCCAGAATCTTTTTCCTATGTGCTCTTTTTCAGATTGTCAGTGTATATGGGTAGTTAGGCTTTCTCATTCCCCTGTGAATTCTTCTGTACTTACTGACATTGATTTTGATCTGCCATTTTATCACTCAGTCATTCAGCATCCAGTCAGATGAAAGAAAGGTCCAAATTTGGATTTCTTTTAAGCACCTTGTTTTTCAGTGAAAAGGGTTTTCCCCTTTTTCTTTTCCTAACTAGAGCTATATGCACCATGCATTCACTTTTAGTGGTTTGTCTTCTACAAGAAACTCACCATGTCCCAGTAGCTATTTGCAGCATAACCTTGTGCTGTCACCTCTTCATGCTACAAGGTCCTGACATTTCAAGCAAATGTCATCGCATCAACTTTCTATCAGCACAGCTGACTGGTGAGATGCACGTGGTGCTGCAAGCCCTTGTTTTGTGAGAGATCTCTGCTTATGCAAGGGGAGCCAGCAAGATTTCATAGCGTATGTGTTTCATATCTCAGAACTTAAGGTTTGGATCTGCAATGCTACCTGGGTAGTGGCAGCAGCTGTTTCCTCTCAGTAACTGAGAGGCTGAACTTGGAGCTATATGCTGAGAGGCTGTAATTCCCTTATGTTCCTATGGAAACATGAGAGGAACCTTCTGCCAAAGCAAGCCAAGGCCTTGAGCTTAACACGCATAACATGTGAATTACCCATTTCTGTGCCTGTTTGCAGGAGCCAGCTCCCAGCGCTGGAACTGTGCCTATATCAGAAAGGAAACAGAAAGGTCCAAGCTAACCTCTACAATGTGCTGCAAAGCATCCATGAGATGCTTCTTTCCCTTTTCACAGAAGTCATCCATCCAAAGACACTTGTCAGTGGGATAGCAGGGCTCTTCTCTAGAATTAGTTTTGATTCTGAGACACTCAGCAAAATCAGGAAGGGATTGGAGCAGCTGCCATGTAAGGAATGTGTGCAAGTGGGAATTTGGGGATTTTACAAACTGCAAACTCTGCTGCCCTACAGAACATCTCAGGAAATGTGAGGCAATTGAGATTGCTTAGCCATTATGAAAGAGGGATAAGCAGAGAAGTGTTCAGTGATAAGAGCACACACACGTACCATTGCTCTGGAGCAGGGTGATAAGTGGTAACTTTGCTATCCCACTTCCACTTACTTGGGTGTGCAAGCTCTTTGTCTAAGCTGGAATGCAAAATAAAGTTGTGCTCTATCAGGTCATCAGAGCTGGCTCGAGAGCCACAGTGCATCCAGGTTATTATTATTGTAACTGGGTAATCAGACCAGCCATCAAACCCCAGCACTGCACACAGTGAGCCACTGCCAGCAAACACTGCTGATAAGTCCAATCCAATACATATGTAACTAGCTGAGGGAGAAAATTCTGCCTCATTGAAAATCGCATTATCCAGCCTGCCACCCTTCACTGGCTTTTGGCTTGTCACACACAATAATGGACAGGCACCCAGAAAAATACTTGTTGTGAAGCAAGGAATAGGTAAGAGACTCTTTTGAGTGTTTGACAAAAGCCAATTAAGATAAACTGAACCTTCTATCATGCCTCTTCCAAAAAAAAAGTATGTCTGCCATATTGCTTAAAGAGCTTAGTTGTTGGTTTTTAAGCAAATACCAGCAAACTTGAAAGAATTTGACACTCAGTAGGCAAAATAATTAAGAGGAGCAGAGACCCTCAACAGCAGATAACAGTGACAGATGACATGTGCCAGTATCTTGGATGGATCCATTGAAGAGGGCATAGTGCTGACAAATCTCATGGCAGGTAAAGATAGCTTCCTGAAAGGCATGGATGCCAGTGAGATATTGACGCTTGTCCCATCAGATCCTTCTGCAAGCATTTAACAAAGTGTTTAAATACAAGTGATGTGTTTATATTTACAGTGAGAATAAATGGCCACCACTACTGTGGCTTCTCCCATAGCATTCATCAGATCATAGAATGGTTTGGATTGGCAGGGAGGATAAAGACCATCTAGTTTCTACCCACCCTGAGGGGGAACACCTTTCACTAGACCATTTTACTCAAAGCCCATCCAACCTGTGATTGAACAATTCCAGGGATGGGGTAGCCACAATTTACTTGGGAAACTTTTGCCAGTGCCTCACTAGTCTTAGTAAATTCTGATGTTCAACAGTTACCTTGTGCCCCTCTTTGAGTCTCTTGTTTCATGGCCCTGCAAAGATGAGTCTTTGGCATGAATTCAACACAGGTATTAGTGTAGGACTAGAAGCAATCTTTTAGGTCATTCAGTCCTGTCATGCATTATCTCAGCAATCCTGCTATATAATCCCCTCCAAAATTAATGAACTTCATCTTGAAAGCAGCAAGTAATTTTTTTCCTTACTGCCGTAGAGGCTATTCTGAAACCACACAGCTCTGATGATCAAATATCTGATCCAGGTCAAAGTGATGCCCTTCAAACAGGGTGATGCTGTGAAGAAGTAAAGAAAATGCTGGTTTTGCCTCCTGGCAAAAATACACAGCTCCCATTCCACTCAGTGATCGGAAACACCAGTTTTCTGACTCCTCATTGACTTGTAATCAACAGGTTGCAACCATGTCTGAATCCCTTCCTTTATCTCAGCTCAATGCAGAAGTTTGTTCTTTCTCTCAAACAATTACTTAGTCCTAATGTTTTTCTGACAGGCCAGATTATCTTCTGTGGATTTCCTTATAATCAAATCTGCTATGTTCTTCCACATATCACCTACCTCCGTGGCTTCCAGCCCATGCAATACTTACAGTGCTGGCTGAAGGCCTTGATTTTAGTTGCCAAAACAATCAGAGGATTAGTCCCTACTCAATGAAAATCTAGAATTTTTGATCTGTGAACTGCTGCATCTGCACTTCACAGCAGAGCTCACAGTGGATGGAGACTGAGAGTGTAGATGTTTCAAATAAGGGGATCTGGCTGCAGCACAGCATTTTGGAGGAACGCAAGGTCTGATCACTCCTCAAACATTCTAAGCTTTCTATCTGAACCAGAATTTCCATCATTTCTGTCACCAAGATGACAGCCAAAGAGACAGTCTAGTGAGAATTCAGCTCAGTAATTTAATCTGCCTACAATATAAATATTTTCTTTAGAGATATTTGCTGTAGTATGCTTTTATAGTCAAATGGGAGGAAAAGGTATTTCCAGTAGGATTTGTATAGTGTCTTGGGGATATGGGCTTTAGGGTGATACAAATTACACTTTCAAAGTAGATTTCTCTCTCCACTGATTGGAATAGCTTCAGATACTTGCTTAGATGCACAGTGCAGATGTCTGCTTTTTGCCAAGTGATTGTTAACCCTGAAAGCAAAAGAAACCAAACAGGAAGATCCTAATATTCACATATTTCAAGCAGAATTTTTACTTGCATAAAAAAAAGATGTTACAGGCCTCTATATTCTTTTTCTGTTTCTTTACAAGCTTGTAGTGTCTTTAACACACTCAAATATTCTGCTGGGTGACATTCTGCCTCTATAGGGTAGATGAGGTGAATGACTGTGGAGTTATTTATACATGCACAAAGAGGAGGTAAATAGAGCCCCTAACTTCTTACTCCTGCCTCAGTAATGACCTTTCTCTGTACCCTTGTGAGAATTGCCTTATCTGTTAATTTTCTGATATGTAAAATTAGAATGACCACACTCATAGACTGTTATGAGGTCTAACTGGAAAGTGAAGAGCACTATCTGCAGGGCAAGAAATGAGATCAGCAGCCTGTAACTGCTGTCAGCAGACCTCAAATGCACTGACAGGAGTATGTCTACAAAGGAGGTTTGAGCAATGAAATTAATCACTTGCAGAGTTCAGAATCAGGTGAAACACTGTATATTAGTAGGATTATCCCAGGGAAAACCCTTTCTCATTTATCCCTCTGGAAATTGATTGACTTGATGGACATTTCACAGCCTTTTTTTATTGCCATTTTTGAAAGATTCATCACTGTAACATTTTTACGTGCATGGCTTACCATTCATACCATGAGCAATAAAACCAAAGTTCCTGATCATGCAAGACACGCAGTTATTAGGAAACCTTTTCATTTCAGCAGTTCACTGAATGCCATGCCCTTTTCCAGGAGTGAGCAGGGATTTCTGAATTGCATTGAAAAGTACCTTCCATGGAATGCTGCCAGTTCAAAGCTCTTGATAACCAGGATTCCAACATGCCCAGCTCTCCTCTCATCCATTTGGAATGCCTTCAGATATATTGCTCCTCGTGTCAGGCTGCCATCACTTTCTGACTGTCTTTCTTTGATCCTTTCCAGGTATCACCGTGGACAAGTTTGGGCTGATTTACTTTGTGGATGGCACCATGATTAGGAGGATTGATCAGAATGGAATAATCTCCACTGTGTTGGGTTCCAATGACTTGACATCTGCTCGGCCTCTCAGCTGTGACTCTGTTATGGACATTTCTCAGGTAAGACAGTGGTTTGGTTTTGTTTTTACAGAATGCAAGCCTGCACCTTCACCCTTACCTGCATGTCTATGTGCTTCCCCAGCAGGGCTGACAAAGAGGTAAGGGCTTAAGGAGAGTTGCTTTCTACATAGTTTATGGTATAAAATTGACCAGATCATAAAAGAATTACCCACTAAAGACAGAAGGAAGGACAGAAGGAAAGACTTGACTGCCCTAACTCATAGATTTTTGGGGGTGAAATTTTTGAAGATGTCCCAGCCACACAACTGACTTCTTTCAGAGTTTCCAGTCAGTGGGAAGGCAGAGATTCCTGGGAAGGCAGGTTTTGTTACCATCATGTCTCGCTATATGCCAGGGACTATATGCCATGCTCCATTATAACATCTTAGCTAATCACAGGTTTTTTCTTTTCTTCTCCTCATCCTAATTTGGCCCAGCACAATTTTAGACCTGAATCAAATTAACATAGGAAATACTGATTGGAGGATGTGGTGCCAAAATTAGCAACAGCAGGAAAACAAGAATCTTGAATCGCATCAGATTGCAAATTGGTTGCAGCTACCATCATGCTGGGCTTTTAAGTCCTGCGGCTTCAAGGTGGAGAGAAAAAAAGAAGAGGAAATCTCATTTTGATTTTGATTGCTTTACTGCTGGATGGTGCAGAAGAGAAATCTGTTACAGCCCAGCACTCCATTTTGTGTGGCACTGGCCAACTTGTCAAATTGTGCCAGTTTAGGACAGTGTCCTTTGAAACCTTTGTGCCACTTGTTGTTTGCCTGCCTCTCCTGCCTCTCCTATGAAAATATAGATCATAGCTGGAGGGCTAAGTACTGTTATTTAGCCACAATAGATGCCAGTGGGGTTTCCTTTTTGTAACTACCTAGATAATTTCCATGCTCCCATATGGAATCTATTCTTGTTTTTTCCCTCTAATTTGGAAAGATTATTCTTGCTTCCTTGCAATTGGCTCCCACTGTCTGTAATTTATGAACAAGCTGAAATTATGACTTTAAAAGTTTTTCTGCCTTCTATAGAAGGGAAATTTTGATGGTTAAATGCCACCTTGTAGTATGTTTCTCATCTTACAGGCATAATTTTTTCTTCATGTGAATTTCAGGGTCAGTTAGCAGAAGACGGCTGTATAATCAGACTTTAGAAATTATTTACTTCCAGGTTATGTAGCTTCTATGTAAACCAGTGACATGTTCAAACACTTCTGAGATGAACATGTATCAGCTGAAGACTTTTTTTTTCCTGTCATAAAATGACAGGAACCATTTTTAGATTAACCTGTACTGGGATTGGCAGATTAACCACTCCTGTTGTAGAGAAACATACTGAATACAAGCTTAATTAAAAAATAAAATCCAGCTTGGGAAGCAGCTTTTCATCATTTACAGCAGATAGAAGGGTCCTTTCTGCCAGGTCCCTGAGGCTGCCTGGGACATGAGGACATGAAATATTTAGCTGCCACTGTTGACAAGGAATGGTTTTTAAGAAATTGAAAATTCCCTTGTCAGTTCAGAATAAACTCAGCTCTTGATGCTAACTGAAGACTGCAGAGCTTAAAGACCACTGGAAGGGATGGAGGCATGAATTATTAAAGAGAAAACCACAGGCTATAATGTTTTACTACAAGAAGGGTTAAAATAGGCCAGGAGCTGAGAAAAGGAAGGAGATTTTGCAAGCAGAGAACCAGAGTAGACAGAGCTCAGCAAACTGCTTAGCAGTGAAAATAAGCCTCATGCACTCAAGCGTTAGAAGACACAATGAACTAAATACCTTACATCTGATCCTTTAAAATAAATGCTGAAAAGGCATATAGGAGCATCAAAATAAAGCATTGCTGTAGCAGAGATGTTGAACTACAGGCGTTAAAAATAGAAATTTCCTGTGTTCCTGAATCTTACCTGGTCTCTCCTTACTGAGTTTTTAGTAAAATCACAGTGAAAGATGGTTTCATGCGCCTGAGCCTGCTGGCATCCACTCCTCCTTCCAATAAGGTTACAAAATACTCCTCTAAACTTAGTCACGTCAGACAAATGAGAAGAAACAGCAATGGAGATGGATGGTGGGAAAAGAAGGTTCAAAACAAAGAAACTATACTGGAATGGATAGGTTCCCATCAGCACACGACCATTTTTTTTCTATATAAACCTGAAATAAAATAAAATAATCAAAAAAATGCGCAACTTGGAGTTTTTTACAAAAAAGAAATGTTCTGAATTCTGTTGGTAAGCATTTTTTAGGTTTAGCAACTAAAAGAGAAGACACACTTGAAAAGAGTGTATTGCAGGAGCAGAGCTAGAAATGAAGTCATTCTAGTGTCTTACTCACTTGTGGTGTTGCCAGTCACTGTTTTAGTGGATTATCAGTGTAGAACTGGGATATGTCACTCCTAAACCCATTTTTCCATTATGCTAAAACAAAATGTGAAAATCACCGTGAAGGCACAAGTATTCTACTCCATGAACTGAAATTGCCTGAGTTTCCTATGAATTGCTATTCTGCATTTTTGCAGCATAAAGCAAAAAACCATAGGTTATAACAGATATTCACACATGCTGGCACAGCTGCCAGTTTTGTGTCTATCCCTCCTTGTCATTTACCAAGAGGAGTTCAGCCACTTGTGTGAAAAATCCTTTAGTAAAAGAATCACTGTTCTATGTGTCTGATTTCATAGCACTTCACACAGCAAAATTTACGGTCCCAGGTCTCTGCTATGAGGTCCAGCTTCCAGCAGTTCAAAAAGCTGGAGAAGGAAAATTGTAGAATGGTTTGCCTCTGTCCATCATCCTGTTCCCACCAATGTTCCAGTGCAGAGTGTGGGTGTCTCCCTGTGACTGCCTCACGTGCCCAGGAGCTAGGCCCCCTTGCTCACAGCAGGTTAAATCCTCTATCGCCACCTATCAAGTAATAATTAGTTGTGGGGTTTTTCACCCTTTAATCCATGTTGATTCCATCCTCATTGTGATTGATTTATAGCAATCATGCACTAGAAAAATGTCTTGCTATAAAAGTTCTGTTGTGGTTTTTTACCATGAAGGTTCGTCTGGAATGGCCCACGGATCTGGCAGTGAATCCCATGGATAATTCGCTCTATGTCCTTGACAACAACGTTGTGCTGCAGATCTCTGAGAACCACCAAGTGCGCATCGTGGCGGGGAGGCCCATGCACTGCCAGGTGCCAGGCATGGATCACTTTCTCCTCAGCAAGGTGGCAATCCACGCCACGCTGGAGTCAGCCACCGCCCTGGCCGTGTCCCACAACGGGGTGCTGTACATCGCCGAGACCGACGAGAAGAAGATCAACCGCATCAGGCAGGTCACCACCAACGGGGAGATCTCCCTGGTCGCCGGCGCCCCGAGCAGCTGTGACTGCAAGAACGATGCCAACTGCGACTGCTTCTCGGGGGACGACGGCTACGCCAAGGACGCCAAGCTCAACGCGCCCTCCTCGCTCGCCGTGTGTGCCGACGGGGAGCTGTACGTCGCCGACCTGGGGAACATCCGAATCCGCTTCATTCGGAAAAACAAACCCTTCCTCAACACACAAAATCTCTATGAGTTATCCTCACCTATAGATCAGGAACTCTACTTGTTTGACACCAGTGGGAAGCACCTTTATACTCAGAGCCTTACCACTGGAGATTATCTTTACAATTTTACTTATTCTGGAGATGGAGATATAACCCTGATCACTGACAATAATGGCAACTTAGTCAACATCCGAAGAGATTCCACAGGGATGCCCCTCTGGCTGGTGGTGCCCGATGGCCAAGTCTACTGGGTGACAATTGGTACCAACAGTGCACTCAAAAGTGTAACAACACAGGGGCATGAAGTAGCCATGATGACTTACCACGGCAACTCTGGTCTCCTTGCCACTAAAAGCAATGAAAATGGCTGGACAACATTTTATGAGTAAGTATTTTATGGGTATTGGCACTGCTGACTTCATTGTGTGTTCTCTGAACCATGCAAGGTTGGTAGAATTTAATTCCCTGATCAGAATTACTGTGCAAATAAAATGGCCTGAACAGAGAGTATTGGATTTCATGCAAACACTAGGTACTGGCATTAGTGCTTGAATAAGCTCCCTCTACCAAGTCAAGTCAAATAGAATTTCTGCTGAGTTTTTCTAAGTAATTTGGACACCTGGTTCTCCTTAGCTGTAATCAGGACTGGAGATTTAGGTTGTGTGTCAGAGAATTTTTCTTGGCTTTGAAAGCCTTGGAAGTATGAAAGTTCCATCACAGCCTCTTTTTTCACAGCTTTTCACCTACCTCCTATGCTGCAGTGTCTTTGTTGAGCCTGTTTGAAGTGTCTGGTGTAGAATGACAACTGGCAATGACTAATGAGAGCTTGCTCTGGAAACAATTCTGTAATTAATGGACTGCTCAATTCCTCCTGTTGCAATTTGCCTCACTAAGCTTTGAGAGTAGTCTTGGAACTGTTCAAGACTGTCCCCAAAGAGTTTTTAAGAAGAGAGAAGATAGGATGCACTGAAAGACCCAGAGATGGCAGTGTCTTGAATATTTGTACTTGTTCTCTGTACTGCTGTTAGCAATTCCCTGCTTTTAAATACCGTGAAGCGAACACATTTCTGATATAAAAAAGGACAAAGATAGATAACTGGGTGAAGAGCACCTAGAAGGATTCATCCTGTTGTTGAGAGCCCCTTTCCCTCCCTCTTCCTTTGTTTAATTTTTATTTACAAGTGTAACCAGTTTGAAATGCTCCTTTAAGTACATCATTTCCCACATGGTTTGAATGGTTACACGGAAGTGTTCAGCTGCCATAATAATAGACCCATTGTAAGAATCCAATTTGGATAGAATAGGCAGTTCCCAAGATGATAAACAAAAAAGTTGCTAGAGAAAAAAAGAGATTCAGGAAAGGAAAGCTGGCTAAATCCGCATATCTGTGTGTTGATATGTGGTTGCTTTGGTTCTCTCCTTAAAATGTTCCAGGCCCAGTTTCAAATTTCTTTGCTTAATACTCACTGCTCCTGCTCTTGCCTTGAAAAGAACTGATGGAAACTCTGTGATGAATCTTTTGAAATGTTATTAGCATTTTATCAATGTTCTGTTTGCAATTACTGTAGCAATATTCCTCAGTGAATCCAAGTTAGTACTCTTCATCTCTTACTTTGAATTTGCTTGAGGAAGGCCTTAGGGAGGAAAAAGAGGGTGTTTTTCTCCACAGGAGTGAAAGCCAGCTATATTGTCAGGACCATTGTGCTAAATCAAGGAGGTATTTTCCTTTTGCAAAGACCCCAATAGTTCCTGTGTTTGAAAACAGATGCAGCCACAGACAGTGAAGCAAACTAAGTATTACAGCTAATAATGGGAAAAAAAGATTTATACCTCAAACATAATCTTTTATTTTAAAGTGCGACTGAAAATATAAAGGAGATAAAATGAGGCAGAAGCTCAAAACCAACTTGCTCTGTGGATATATTTATAACAGTGATCCATTATTTCTTGCTGTCCAACAAAATAAAGCATTTGTGAAAGTCATCATTCTGGTCCTTTAATGCACTTCAGAAGAGTATAAGAAAGCTTTTTAGAACTAAATGGAAGACAGTATTCTCTAGTGGCTGGACTATGAGAATCTTGACTAGAGCAAGTCAGCACTGTAGGATAGCACAGCATCACTGAATATAGAATTGTGACTGTGCCTTCAGAGATATCTCATCCAAACCTGTGATCACTTATCTCTGTCTAACTGTTCCTGACAGTTTCTGATGCAACTGTATAAAACTACAGGGTAAAAGTCTATATCTGAATTAGTTACTTCAGCCACCCTTTACAGGCAGGTGGAGAGTAAAAGGCCCATTCAGAGTTTCTTATGAGTTATGTTAGGTATTTCCTTTAAGATGAGAAGAGTTGTATTCTGGAAGTTTACCTCTGCAAAGGTAGTAGAGAATGATGAGTTCGGATGCAGATGTTTATGTTGCAGATGTCTACAGTTCAGTAAAATGGATCCTGTCAGTCATTTGAGTTTTTCATTAATATTGTTAGTGATAACAATGTATTTATCCGTATTATTGTTACTTTTAGAGAGCTTTTTTATATGCTCAGCCTAAATCTTCCATGCTTGAGTTGGAGACTATTCTTTTTCATCCATCTTACCCTTTCATATGCTATCCTCTCCTATCCTATCCTATCCTGTCCTATCCTATCCTGTCCTGTCCTGTCCTGTCCTATCCACTAGGGTCTTGAAAGGCAGATCAGTGATTTAGAGGGATTGATTCTGTCCAGGTTTTGTATGTGTAACCAGGGAAAGAATATAAAATCAGACTGATAAAATTAGAATATGAAATAAGAGTCAAATATTTCAATTGTTTGGTAAAGTAGGTTTCATTTAAACAAGATATGTGCAAGAACACAGTTCTCAGAGTTGTAGCAAGGCATCAAGTCTTCAGTGTGATCCTCACATGATTCCATGGCAAATCTGTCTAACTTGTTGCTTAGATGGACAAACTAAATGAATGCATTTACTCATCACACTCTACTTGTAGTGGCTAGTAGGAAGCTGATTTTTTCTCTGTGCAGCATTGCTATGGCTAATATTGTCAGCTCATAAAAATGCAGTTTATGAAGAACTGTGGAAATTGAAGGCTGGGCCGAAAAACTCTTAAAAAATTCATTCATGGGGAGAACAAGAAAGTCTTGATCTCTTTATCTCAACATGAATGAGACTGGGAAGTGTCCAGATCACAACATGTCAGCCAAAGCTCTTGCCTAGAGAGGGACTCTCAGTCTAACAGAGAAAGGGTTGAGAAGGGTATGGGACTGGAAAGCAAAGCTAGAGAAATTCAAGTTGACAAGAAGGTGTGATTTTTTTAAGGCTGAGATGACCTAACTGGTAGTGTAACCAACCATGAAAGCAGTATATTCTCCATTTCTTTGTATCTTAGATCAGGACTCTGATGCCTTTCTTGTAATGTAATCTCACCAGAGAGAGAATTTGCATGACTGAAACACAAGCTGCAGAGATGAGTGCAGGCATGGCAGGATGAAGTCTAAATTCCTTGTTATCAAGGAAGCTGAAGAAGATGGTGTAAACCAAATAAAATCAACATTCACTACTTTCATGTTATTGGTTTCTCTGCCAGAACAGCAAGAAATGTACATTGGGAAGGCTTAAGTGGTTTAGAGAATTCCTGTGAACATGAGTGGCTGGAAGGTGCTCTAAAGGAGTTTTCAGTCCTGACTGAGGGGAGGGGTGAATTCCATATTTCCGTTTTGCTCATGGCCAAAGAAATAACGGCATCAAATCTGACTCTGAGGAAAAGTTTCATGTTTCTCACAGCACACAAGAGTTGTTTGTGTGCCAGGGCAAGCTGGACACTGCTGCCTAAAAAGTTAACAGTAAAGTAAATCCAGCTGGCAAATTTACACTGCACCAGTGGCAACATGTTCTTCTACCATGAAGAACGTCCTCAAAAGATTTACCTTTCACCTGACTGTCTACAAAGGACCATAAATCAGAAACCCAGCATGACAGAGCAGTGGTGTTGTGAGAGTGGCATCGCTACATGTTTGTCATGGAATTACAGTATCATAGTATGGCTTGGGTTGGAAGGGACCTTCAAGAACATCTAGTTCCAGCCAACATAGCCAGCATCTCTGGTTCTCCTCCAGGTGCTGTTCTTACCAGGCCATTTCTTAATCTTTACCATAAGGCTGCAAAGAGCTCTGACATGTAGGCACATTGGCGTGACTCTGCAAAGGAGGGAAGGAGGAAGGATGTACTGATGCAGTACTGGAGGTCTGTCTTCAGGGCACACCAGGGAATCCAGGTCCTCCAAGGCTTCATGCTGGACTGGCACATTGTCCCTGCCTTTCTGTGGGGAAAGAGACTGGTGCTGGCTTCAGAGAATGGCAGTCTCACTCACAGCACTTAGAGCTCTTCCTTTCACACATCCTACACCCAAGCCTGCTCTAACAATCCTGTTTTATCAGGTTTAGCTCTGAGTAAGACTCAGTGTATAATGGTGTGCAGTTTCCCTTTTTGTTTGAGTGAAACTTAGCTCCCCACAGTAATTAGACTGTCTCCAAAGACCTGTCTATGACTACTTTGAGGGTTTTAGCATTATATAGACCTTTCCTGCCCCTGCAGTGGGCTTGACATTAGCTGTCAGTTAATGCAGTGCAGCTCAGCTTGTCCAGTAACTGGATTAAAGACTTTTCTTCCCATTAAACTGGTGACAGTAACAGTGATAATCAGCAGCAAAGGAAGTTGATCTGGAAACTCAGCCAGGGAAAAGATTTCTTGTTCCACTCTTCCAGTAAAAGACAAAGGATGCTGTGTGAGTACTTGCTGCTTTGTTGTTGCTGCTTTTTAACTTGACCTGAAAAAATTGCTACCAGCCTTTACAAAGTTTCTTAGCAGTTGCTGTTTGTCTGCTTCAGAATCCGGAAATTCTTATTAATGGATTTGTTTAAATCAAGAATACAGCAATTATCTTGATTAGTTCACTGAGATGTTATCACTGTACATTAACTCAATTTCCCTCTCAGCCAAAGTCAAACCTTGTATGCATTATTTAGCCCAGATGAGGCTCTTTTACTTAGGTCCTGTGTGTGTCCTATTAGGTTTGAAGGTCGCCTCCTCCCGTACAGACTCAAACACTTACACATTGCTCCAGCCAAGCCCAGAAATTCAAAACATTTTCACGGACTACCCAAGAAGTGGCTCACAGTTGTCTGGAGGGCAAAGGATCTCATGGAGCCAGGTCTTCATATGAGTGGTAAAGGGAGTTTTGACCCCGTAACACCGGAGGCTTTTTTACAGAGAACCAAACTCTGCCAAACCTCACACACTGTAATGGATGGAAGGTAGAAGCCAGCTGGACTGAGCTTGCAGGAGGACCTTGAATGGCTTCCCAGTGACCCCCAGGGCTCAGCAGAGGT